CCCATAAAATTTGAAACCTCTGTCCGCATATCTCTTGCTATGGGAAATCATGAAGTGAAACCCACAAACGCAGGAAATGAAAAAAAGAAAGAACCAGAAGAATGTGAATGATTTTCGCATTGAGACGTAATTGAGTTTGATTTATGAATGTGATTGCTTTGGTGCAGCGTCGACAATGTCAATGTAGTGCGAATATGAAATAAAAAGATGTATGAGGTAAAAAGGAAGAGATTTTTTCATGATACTTGCACTGCGACTAATCAAAAGTGAATAAATGAAATATATCAACGCAGCATGAAATATTTCCTATCTTGCAATATACCAGCATATTTCTCTACGTCATAAAACTATTTCACTTCCAATTCGAAAATTTTCCAGCTTCATACAAGAACTCGTTTGCGATTTACTTTCAGCATAAATACAACAGGTTTGCATACTCGTACGTACATACTATTGCATACATATAATATATAATATGTAGATTTAGTACAAATTGCTTGTTTATAACGGCAATTAAGTGCGCTGTAAATTACATATACTTACATATAATAAAAAATGGTTAACAACAATAAAAAAAAAAACTATAAACTTCAGCTAATCCGCCGCATCACAGAGCTGTTGTTGTTGACAGTGGTAGAGATTCATAAAACTTAGTATGTAAAGTGAGGAAGTCAATTGCCATTCGGTCACTGAGGTCAATATGAATTTATGTAGTCGCCAGCGCGAACGTACTAATTATTACAACAATAAACATCAGTAATTTGCTTGGTCTAATGTCTACGTAAATATTCCATCACTAAAGTTACTTAGTACTAATAAAATATTTTTATGTGTATTTATAATGGAGTGTTATTAAATGTAAGTTAGCATTAAATTGTTATTATCAAAATGCGTTGGCTTTTAGTCACTATGTAAATATGTGTGTTTGCAGACAAGCAATAAACCACTGGGTTCAGCGAGTTCAAATATAGTGACGACAATAAATACAAATGAATGAAAAAAAGTGTATGTGAAAATAATTACAGTCGTATAGTGAATAAACAAGAAAAACGTTAGAGAAAAAAATCGATCACTGGTTTCATTGGATTGCAGGTTTCTACAAATTACTTGGGCACAAAGAAGCTCACCATACCTGATCTTGTATTTTTCTACGACTTGTAAAATATTGTAATTCCAAAATACAAATACACTTCAGGCCCTCAATTTCAAATCAATTAATAGTGCTTACAACCGACAGCTCATCAAGTTGAAATTTTATTTTATTTTTTTTTTAATTTTTTAACAATTTCGTTTTTGAGACTTTGCCAGAGAGAGTTTTGATTTCAATATATGAAAAATATAATAAATCTAGTCGCCCCTAGTCTGGGAATGTCAATCCCTCCGAGTGTATTTCTGACATGAAATAAAGGCTTTTCACAAAAAAAGCCATTAGCCGTTCCGTGGCGGCTTAGTATAAGCTGCAGGTCCATATATATATGTATGTATATTTTTTAAATTTTTCAAAAGTAAATTTTTTCGTCATAAGTAGTAGGCCAGCTTAAAGCTTGAAATGAATTCATCTCATTTTTCAATAGATCTTATTGATTGAGTGAAGGCTCTTCTCTTCTTCCTCAGCTTCTATCAGTTCCTATCGGAACAATATGGCATAGCCAACTGGCTCATCGTTCCATCGTATACGCTATTCGAAGTTACTTTTTTCAAAACCCTTTTTCTTAAAGCTCATAAGGCTGAGTCATCGAATTTCATGTTATTGTGGACCGGTATTTCGCTGGAGAAAACGTTGTAAGGACACAAATGTCACAGGAACTATTAGTTTCAGTTAAGTCTTTTTAGATTTCGGCAATGTTCACGCTTCTGCCGACTTAAAGAGCTAGCTATTCTAATTCGAGAGAGAGCCTTCAGTCGCCTATTTAGTCAAAAGTACAGAAAGGCTTATATATTAAAATAGTTCAGCTTTTGTAGTTGGCTTCCGTAGCTTTATTTTTCTGCAAGCATACAAATATTATTCCTACCAATTGGATATCTAGGGACCAATATTAACACCTATGATAATATCAACCTTGAAATTCAACGCAGAATCACTCTGGCTGAGTAGGTAATTGGAAAACAAAAGTCCCCTCTCGAAGAACAAAAACTGAAATATACAAGTCGCTCATCATATTCATCCTACTATATGAAGAAAAACTCTGGACGATGCCGATATCCGATTAGTCGGCCTTGGGAGTTCTCGAGGAAAAAGTTTAGCGAATAATGTCCGGGCCCTTACGAGTTGGCAATGGTGAATGTACGAGTTGTACGCTAACGTAGCTAAGCAAATTAAGAGACACCCGCTACGCTGGCTAGGGCATATCCTTCAAAGGAATGAAAAAAATTATATGAAAAATCAGCTAAAAAATTAAAAAAAAATGTGTAGCCAAAGAATTAATTACTATAAAATTTGGCATATGACTGTTTAATTATATACAGACAATATGAAAATCATTGGGGTATTCGATTAAGTAAATATTTAACCACTTTTATAACTGCTTTACACATATGTATGCATAATACATATGTCAAAAATGTAATAGACGCCGCCGGTTATAGTTATGAATTTACAATTAGTCTACATAGCAAGATGTTGTTGTAAATGTCACATATTTACATAAATATCCGTACGCAAGTGTGTTAACGAATTTATAATTATATTGATTGTTTTATATAAAATTTTCCAATATAACTGCAACCAAAACTGGTTTTCACTTTAAAACACTATATTAATTATATATGTTTATTGGCTAAACAGTAAAGTACAATGTTTGTATGTTGCTAGGTTTTTTCCTTTTTGAAATGCGTGTAAACAATGTTGGATAATAGAGGGAGGTTGACAGATTTGCATTAAAGACGGTTTTAGGCCGAGATTTTTATTTGTATTTTTTAATGGTATTTTTTAATTTAAATCATTTTCTCTTGTACATCATATTCGGAAAAAAATATTGCCTTACAAATCTAATCTAAAATAATAAATAATTCTTTGAGCAAGACTTTGCATTAAGACTTCGGTATAAAGGCCTTGCTTCGGTAAGCGCTCTGTAGATCGTTTGGCAGAAGATAAGCAGTTTATCGCATTGGGACCTCAGAAACCCCATGAGTAACCATTTAAAGACTTTGACTTCATAATGAGTGACTACTTGGTGCGACATGTGGGCAATGTTGCAGGGAGAGACATGGATAGGGTAGCGATAGGTGCCTCATTGCCAGCCTTACAATCGATCTTTTGCGTACTGTGTGGGAAAATTATATAATCAGCTGAAACGGCAATTTCACTTTCACAGCTTTGACTTGACCCCGTTTGAAGGCGTTTTCAGTCGGCATTGCGGCCATTGAGACACCTTCAAAAATGTGTTGGAAAAATGGCTCGTTGAAAAATTTACTCGTACTGAATGAGCTACTGCAAGGACAGTCGCAACAGCCAAAATATTGAAAAATATGTATCTTCCTCTTTTTTATTCCATAACAATTTTTAAGCAAAGAAATGTAGGTTACATATTAGCTTCTGGAAAAAGGCTCAAAAACATGAAAATTATCTTACTTTAATTTTTTATGACATATTTTTTTTTTAATTATTTTTTAAATTTTCGAAAAAAATTAGATACGTATTTATTCGAAAATTTTTCTGGGCTTATGGTATTTGATTTTTTTTTTTTTTTTTTTTTTTGATTTCACGCAGTTTTTTTTAAGCAAAAATTGTAAAAAAAAATTAGATAAAGTTTATTAGATTTTTTTGTCAATAAGATGACCCTTTCGCCATATAGCGACAAATTTGTTAAATTTTCTGATTAAAATTTTTTGGTTATTTTAAGAACTTATCATTTATAAAGACAAATTGATTCGGTGTTCAATAGTTAAAAGATAGTCCCCTCAAAGTATAGTCCATCTCAAAAATTAGCCCTCTCTTTCATCGATCCAGCTAATTGCGCTATCGATCGGCACAAACTCACCACAAGCATTCGAATGGCTTTTGCTGAACTTTTCCTCCAATTAAAATATAAAATCAAAACTTCCACCAAATGCTAATAATTTTATAAAAAAAAAAATCCGAAAGATTTCGAGAAGGCAAACAACCATGTTGTTGTCAGAAATAGATGCTGATGCGCACTAATTACTGTAGACAGATTAGATACGCTTCCAGTGCAACAATTTGCAGGTAAAGCCATCTTTTCAGAACGAAGCATTTTGTTAGTTTATACCCCGAACATTTATATAAAAAAATCGAAGAATGAAAACCACAGACTATAAGCCAACAATAAGCATGCCGAGATACGCAAGCAGCTTCCGTATATACATACATATATATTAAGTAAACGATAAAAATACGTATTTTATATAATTATTCATACAAACACTGTAATTGAGTTGTAGAATACTGTTATTAGTGGGCGCTTTACCAATGCATATTAGCGATTACTAAGTAGTTCATATGTAATGCGTAAATATAATTACAACTTTCAATAGATAATAAGAGTAAGACAAGTATTTTGCGCAAGTTTGAGTTTGTATTAATTTAAGTTTGCGCAAGCCGATGACAAAAACAAATTTCCGCAAATAAGCACACGCAAAGAATTGTTTATTCATTTGTACATTTTATGTTTTGTTTTTATTATTTATATAATTATTTTTTTAATTTTTTAATACGAAATAAATATTTTTATATATTTTTTCAACTATCTAAATACTGTTAAAAGTGGTTTTACTTAAATAAAACCATAAGAGAAAATACTGTAAGACAGAAAATAGTATTAAATAAAATGCTTCTTCTACTGTCACCAGCACACATGCACAAATAGGCCTTAGAACAATATAAATCATGATGAAAGCTGCGAAGATCTCTGAACTATGTATGTCATTTTATACTCCTAACCACACATTGACACAAACATATATTCATAGCAATGTTTTACTGCATTTGTCTTTAATAAATATAAGCTTGAAAGAATTTCTAGTTTCAGTTCGCGTACGGCGCTGAGACACTTTGATTTCAAAGTTGTTTAAGCGAGAAGTGAAATACATTGAAAGGAAATAAAATTCTCAGTGCCTTGACTATTTATCACTTCATAAAATTTTAAAGGTCAAAAAAGAGAATAAATATAGTGAAAAATATATAAGATCCATCTGAGCCATGTGTCCTTCAGGGTGTTAAAACAAATATTGCTAGCGAAAATTTAAAATTAAAATTTTTAATTCCTGCTAAGCAGTAGATATCAAAGAAAAGTGCGTGTGAAATAGTGAGGTACAACTAAATAAAGTGTTCACAAAATCAGTGAGAAACTAAGCACAGATATTGAATAAAAATTACGAATTTTTAGAATGAAGCAAAAATAAACAATTAAAAACCCAAAACTAAAAAAAGAATTAGACACCTATCTTATGGAAAACTAACTTAATTACAATCCTCCAAAAGGAAATTAAAATTAACAAAAAATTGGATTAATAATTTAAAAATGTATCTAAGAAAGTCTCTACCTATAACGGTGTTATTCACCATACTATGCCGCGTCTGCAACGCAACAGCGGAAATCGCAGATGCCAATAGTGATCAATATCAATTAATGCAACGTTCATCAATCCTCTTCGGCTTGACCGTAATTAGCCGCCCGGATATGGTGAGCCACAACTGTTATGCTCAACTGCAGGAGTTACAAAAAGCCATGCTAAGGCAACAGCCGTGGGCTATGAAAAGTGAGTGTGCTTAATTTAAGTAAAAAAATTAGTTAATTATGGATGTCTTCGTTGAGATACAACGGACGGCTGATAAGTTCGCGGCCTAAAGCACTTAAGGTGATTTTTGGGTATTTTTGTTAAAAAAAAATACTTTATAAATTATTTCAAAATTTTTAGGATATATTTATACATGTTTCAAGAATATACAGCGAAATTTTTGAAGAAAAAAATTAAATATTTTTTAAGTTATAGTCGATCTCCAACGGCCCGAAAAAAAGGTCCTGCACTGCTGCAGTGATTCCGACCTTCTCCATGGATGAAATCTAAAAAAAAAATTCTCTACTAGATAATATTGACGGCGGCGTTTTAAAAAAAAATACCCAAAATTTTCGTCGTTTTTGGCCTGCAAAAACTCGATTTTTTTATCAGATCAAAAGTCAATAGGTAATTGTACGGAGAACTACACGTGTATATATAGAACATGTAAAAAAATTCGATAGTGATCGGATTATATGTTTTGAGTAATCACTGCGGCAAACTCGGAAAATGCTGTTTCGAGAAAAACGCGTTTAAAGATCAAATGATCGTTTTCACTCGTAGCTAATGAGACTTTCTAGCAGCCGAGCGACTGCTCTTTAAATTGCTATAATTCAAAACCTATTTGAGATATCGATTTGAAATTTCAATATGTTATTTTTGAAGGTGTAATATAAAATATGAAAAAAGATCGATTTTTTTTTAGTTTCACACTAGGCGTGCCCCTTAATGCAACAATATATGGTCTCCCCCAAGTGAATTACACTTCTCACATCATAAATATACTGAAAAAAATATTTTTTAGATTTCTCTTAAAATTGTTTCTACGGCCGCTTTCATTTCACTGTCCTCTGAAAATTTTTCGTCCTGAAACACCTTATTTAAATTCAAACAAATTTAAAAATAACTGGGATCCTGGTCCGGATTGTGGTGTGAATGGGTGCCTTGTTATAAAAAACAACACCCCGCTCACTAATTTGTCTCACGCGCCTGATTCTGGACTAACGCGCACTAATCTTTTTATATTCGAACGTTCATACAAAATCTCTCTAGCTCGTACTTCGCTCGTAATCCTTCTGCTATCTGCAAGAATTAAATTCTTTGATCAGACAATACTATTTTTTCGACTTTCTGAACATTTTCTTCGGCCACGACCATCACTGGTTTCTCTTCCTTATTGAAATGGCCGAACCCTTCACTATCGTATAAGATAAGGCAGAGTAATGAAGAGCCGATGGCATCTCTTTTAAAATTTTTTCGATGTACCTACTTTTAGAAGGAATTTAATCACAGCGCGATGCTCCAAATTGCTTGAGTGGAAACGAAAAATTAATAAACCTAATAAAAAGAGTTATGTCATTTATTCTTATAATAAGTCCCACCATTAGTATTATCACTAAAGAGGTGATGTAGCGTCTCTTACTACCTTAGGTTGCGAAAAAAGTCAGCCGCTCTTATATATGAAAAAAAGTTTCTTACAAGAATCTGTCTTTTTAATGCCTTTCTTTGTTCTTTTTGCTCTCAGCGAAGAAATGAAGTTTTCCACTTGAATAATATTGAGGAGACTGTCTTGGTTCTCTCAGTGGGAAATCAATTCGTCTACCCGTATATATTTTCTGTAACGTTATAAGCACGTCTGTGTGGGAATATCTTTGTTTTTCGATTTCTGATTGGATCCAATATCATTCGTGAGAAATAAATAAAGTTTATGTTCATCGAAATCGCTGATTAGCGTCAGACAAAGTGGATTTGAGTTTAAGCATCAAGCTTACAATAAAACTTAATTTTATTTGGCCTTCACCCAACAAAACCGGATACACCCCGAGTTCGCTTTGCCTCTCTTGGCTTATATTTATTCGGTAATCAGCGGTCTGATGGTCATCCGAGCATTTACCGGTATCAAGATGAGTTTTGTAAACGGCCCATCATCATCCGCCGATTATTCTTCAACTTTTCTATGATAAAGGTGAAAACGCAGGTTAGGTAAATGAACATGTGATTAATATTTATGACTCTGATACTGTAACAGTCAATTTTAATGTCATCGTTCCGGTAAAGATGCTGCACGTTGTAGTGGGCCAATTGCCGAGAGTGTCGTCAATTAATGGAACTTATCGAATGTGATCATCATGGGAGATAAGGGAACCACTTGAAAAAGGCTGATTACCAGGGAAGCTCGATTTATGATTGTCACATGAGTTAACGAGAACAAACCTCAAGGACGGAATTTCCAACTGTGAACCGCTACAAATCAAACCAAATCAGCCCATTTCAGTAACAGATAGGGACTTCTGATGAAAAGGGGGTCACTCACAGCAACGCAAATAAATACTGTCGTGGTCAAAAAGCAGTATATCGGCACATATTGAGTCCCAGCCGAGACTGATGGTCAGGATGGTTTTGTTGTGTATTTGGTGGTGCAAGGAATCATCCACTATGAGTCGCTTCCCTACGGTCAAACTCTTCATCTGCACCTGTGTTTCAGGAGATTACCAAACCACACTCATCGATAGAGACTGCTCGGAAGCTGCGAAACCTTGACAGGTACCATCTGTTCCTGGCCTGAAAAGTTAGCCTCAAGAGAGGCCTTTTACTAAACTAAGCTGAAAACTCTCGATGTTTAACTTGAATTCAATGTGTCTTTGATCAAAAACTGAATGTTCCAAGATGGCCTCTGACCCAGGCATGATATTTCTGTTCTACGCCTATTTATGTAAGATGGAGTTCGACTTTTGTTTATAATGAGAAAGTAGTAGTTAAAGTAGTCGAGCCGTCGTAACAGTTTGAGCTACCTCAGTCCCTATAATGGGAGCTAAAAAATCTGGGCGAATAATTAGTTGCATATCTGTTCTTTCTGCATGTTCAGTTACCATCCTCAACTATGCCGTTTATAGTAAAGTTAGGGTGTCCAACGGCAGATAGACAGACACCAGAAGAAGCAGTTGGCTTGAAGGTTTCGCTCCTGCGACACCACTCGATGATAAATCTGCTAAAAAGGAAAGATATAATTTTTCTGTAGACCATGCAGTGTTTTGGTCTGGTCTCACAGCTGACTTAATAAAATTGGTAGTTAGATGCAGATAGTCCACTGACCCTATCCTTGCAAGTAGTAAGTTTTTGAGCTAATGCAATATAAAACTTACGTTTATATTAGCGGAAATAAATACTTCCCCCAGCTTCTTTAAAAGAGGTAATCCCATTGGCATCACACGCCCCTTCAACTGCTTTTGCTACAACGGTATCACATTGCTGTCATAGCGGCCGGACTAACTTTACGTGGATGAGAAACAACTTTTGGACGGGTCATCCAGGGACAATGGATTGGCAATCCTTGCCAGTAGTGGTATCGAAGTCCACTTACGTACATAGGAATGATTAGGTATCCTGTCGATACCCAACTCAATGATATCTCCTTCTGGAGCTGCGCTGCACAGAGCCTGCCATCTCAGTAGCAGATCTGATATTGTTATAGACCTCATCTTGAACTTATTTTCAGATATGTCTTTCAGTCGAAAAGTAAGTATGAATATTGCCATTTACCTCTGTTGAAGACGATGCAGCTATACGATCAATGGTAGAGAGGCTTCCAAGTCACGACTGGTACTTAACGAAAATATCCTAAAGCTCCTGAGGACACAAATCTTTGTCTCCCCCCTTTGACAAGATGGCTAAGTTCGATTGCCAGTAATTGTTGTTTGCTTGGAGAACTCGCCGGCTCTTTTGTAAGGGTTTACTTCGCCTTTTACCTACTGCTCTTGTAGTTCACCGGCGCAGGTATCAACGTTGAAATCATCAAAGCACGAAGGACCCACATTTGCGAAATAACCCCCTAATTTAATATCGTAAACATTTCGAAGAACCCTTATAAATTATAATCTTCCACATTACTTTTCCTTGCAGTGTACGATGCATCGGGCACTAAAGCCCCAGGCTTTATTATGGGCAACGGACTATGGCTGGGCAGTCGTGACACCTGCAATGCAGTTCGGCAGCCAGTCAATTTGAAAACATCCAAACATATACCGCACAAAATGAATCCGAAAATCATCACCGACACCGCACCATTTCCCACAGACTTTCGCGTTGTCTACCTGTGGCACAACTCCACTTGGCAAATGGATCCGATATTTCCATACTATGAGCCACGCATCAATGTTGGCCTCTGTTTACCGAGCGCTTGTACATTACCCGAAATAGGCCAGATGATGGCCATTTATGTGGAGGATGACTTATTTGTTTCGAATGATATTTACAATATGCGCTTGCGCGTTGAAAGCGTTAAGGATTTGACATTGCGTACGGGCTTCTTTGCGCGCCCCTCTTCGGCGATATTCTTTTCAGCTTGGTTTGTGACGATTGTGCTGACATTCGTTGCGTTGGCACGACGCATGAAACGCAGCAGCGAAGCTGTGGAGGTGGCCGCAAGCGATGCTAAGTCGCAACAAGAAGCGCATGCTAAATTGGCTGGCAATGGCTATGTGGATTGTTTTGATGTGCAAAACAATTGGGCGTTGCTTTTCCCAAAGGATGCGGATGCAGATGCGGCGACAGGTGGTAATGCAGCCTTTCCTGCTGTGAATGGTTTGCGTTTCTATGGCGCCATGGGCGTTATTTTATTCCATTTGCTATGCATAACATACTTGGGTTCGGGCAATAAGTCGCAGCATTACAAGTTTACGGGAAATTTGGGGAATTTCGATATTTTCGTTGATTTGTTCTTTACAATGAGGTAATTTGAAAATATATTCTAAATGTATTTTAATATTTTATTTTTATTGTTTAATATTTACGCTTCTGCCTCAGGTATTCTGAATTCAAAAAAAAAAATTAATTTTTCATATATATTTTTCATTTCTTCCAGTGGCTTTTTACAAACATATCACTTCTTTCGAAATACCAAAACCATTGAAACCATTCGCAGGAGCAATTTGGTGCAAAATTCAAAAATGGTGTTCTTATACTTGGTTCATCGGCTGATTAGGTGAGGCAATAAATATAAAATAAAATTTTTGACTAATTTATTTATAAAAAAATATAAATTTTAGGTCCCTCCGTTTTTTTGGAAAACATCAAGACGCCAACCGGAAATATTAGGGAGAGCCCGGCCGAGATTTTCCACTGGTGTTATACATATTATGTATACATATATAGATAGTTGGCGCTTTGTAACCGTTGAAACTAGATTCGGCCGAGCTCCTTATGCAATATGTGGTATTGGTCTTAATGTTTTCCCAAAAATGGAATTAGTTAAAATTTATTCTAAGCCGCCACCAAATGGCTAATGGATTTTTATGAGGATCTTTGATTTCATGTCACTTATCTATTTATTTTAAATTTCTAATTATACATTTTTGTACTAAAATTTACATGCAATTTTTATATATTAGCCTAGTAAAAATTAATCCATTGTTTTTATATTAAATTGATGGCTTTATTTACAATTTTTGGAATTATCCGATTTTTGATATATACGCACCGATAACTTTTCGCCATTTTGAAAGTAATGTCATAATGCCACTCTCATAAAAAATCCTTGCTCCTATTGGCAAAGAATTGCTACAAACGATTTTCACAGGCTTCTCTTGAGGCCAACTCTTCACCATCCAAATGATTCGCCATAAACACGAACAGATAGTAATCACCTAGTATGGTCAGCACTATGAGGTGGATGCACAGCCACCTTCCAACCAAGCTGTCGGAGCTCTTGGCACTGTCCTGATGAAACAGAATTTCGTTCCTGTGGATTGTTGTTCCTTCAGATGGTTCAATTGCTGACAGTAAGGGCTTGTCCCCTGGGAAGTTTCTCACAGTGGATAATTCCTTCCCAATGGCACAAAAAATTGCCTGTCAAACGTATTATTTATCTCTATACCAATATTTAATATTCAAAGAAAGCTATAAATGATCGGATTTTATGTAAATGTCGAGAAGAAGTTTTGCCATTAATAATGGAAAACAATATTAGCCAAATGGCCGTTATGACTAAGCATACAGGACCGTACCCTTTTTATGAAAATATTCATCACCAAATCAAAAAGTGGGTGCTGTATGCCATCAATAGCTTCAAAAATTCAATCTTTGAGATCTTGAATAGAAGTTGGCCTGTTGACGTAGATCATATCTTTCACGTGGCATAAAAAGAAATAGTGGCAAGGTGGCTTATTGCGATTACCTCTTCCCGAGAGATAAAACATTACGGAAGCTTTTTCTTTAGAAATAATTCTTGGGGTTTCCGAGCCCCAGATAAGACAGTTTGGCTTATCGACATAGCCTTTGAGGTGGTTCCTCAGTCAGATGATTTTTCGCTGAAATACCAGATCATTTCCATGAGTTCAAGAACCCAATCATCAAACAAATGACGTTACAAAATGTAGTGACGTGTGTAATGACATTTGCGGAATGCTCAATTCCAAAGAAATACGAGAAATGGACAAAACTGAGTTTTCTTCAACACTTTTGGCTGCAGCAGCAATATTCAAAGTTGTTTTTATTCCTCACATCACTAACTTGTGCCAACAGCTACATTTTTTCCTCCAATTTCGGTATTGCTGTCCGATAAGCTGCTTCTTGATGACCGAAAAATAGTTTATTGTTACGCACCGGCTCTGCCAGATTTTTAACATTTTATAGCGAAATTTAATTATTTCAATGCGTTGTTGAAGCGTGTATTATTTATTACCTCCGCAGTTTTACCTTTCAATAGTCAAAAAATACAGCTTTAAAATTGACATCTGCCGGAACAGCAGACTGTTATAAATAACTCCTCTTATTGGAAAACCCTTTATTTGGCGCTCTTTAACCGCGGTAGACATTTCCAGTAGAGCTCCTCCTCCAATTTGTTGTTTACTTTTGATATTGCTCGGCACAAATTTCAGTTAAAATTATTAATTTTTATTTCTAAATTTAAATTTTAATTCAATTTTAATTTTATTTCCATTGCAAATATCAAAATAAATTTTAATCTTATTTTAATTTCTAACCTTAAATTTAATTGAAAGTTTTATATTAATTTTTATGTTTATTTAATTTTTAAATTGTTAATTATAGATTTTAATGTATTAAAAACATTTACCATCATTTTTGATTTTTTGTTAACTTTTAGTACTTTATAATTGAATTTTTAACCTTTTGCACTTTTAACTTCAATATTTTATTGTTTAATATTTAATATTAGATTTGTTTTAATAACAGATTGTAGCAATATTTTGTTTTATTAAAATCTTGCTTTTGACTTTAAATTCAATTTTAAAATTTTTGGATTAAAGTTTATCAATTTATATACATATATTTAAATTTAAGATGTTTTATTTTTAATTTTATATTAGAAACTTTAATTGTCATTATATTCAAATAATAAATTTGTTTAACTTTTTCATCATTATTGTTTACTTATTAAATTTTTAATTATTATTAGTTGCTTAAGTTGCGTTCAAACATATATTTTTTAACTTCTTTCTTTTTTAACATTGAATTTCGAACACCTAACTCACTCAGTATTACTTATGCGGTTATTATTTTCATATTTTAATTTTTAAATTTCCGAATTTTTGATGCCAAATTAAAGTTTTTCTCTTCATATTTTTTATATTTTTTTAAATTAAAAATTGTATAACAATATTTTTTGACATTCATAATTTACAAATTTATTTATTTTTTCCCACACTCTTAGATTAGGCCCACTGTACTTACTTGTTATCTGCCTGGCCGACGCCGGATCTCTGCTGGTGGATGATTTATCGGTTTTCCATTTTAGTCATCGTTTATATGAGAAATGTGAAATGTATTGGTGGCGCAATGCGTTTTTCATACAAAACCTTTTCAACCACGAAGATATGTGTATGTTCTGGTCATGGTCCTCAGCGTGTGATATGCAATTCTATATATTCAGCATAATTTTGCTCTTCGTTTATGTGAAGTAAGTGCGCATTTAAAGAAAAAATCGCTTCACTTTAAATAAAATAAATTCATATTTTTACTTGATACTACTTTATTCTTTGTTAATTTTCAGAAATCCAAAAACCGCAAAAATTCTCACAGCCATCATCGCTGCGGCAAACTTGGCTTACACCGCCTACACCGGCATAACTATGAATTATGAGTATTCCTTCGAAACCACTTCGGCACTCTTTACCGAAATGTACATTAATCCGCTCTCACGCGTATTGGCATATATAATTGGCGGCATTGCTGGCTGGTATTTCGTGCAAAACGAACAGAAGCAATTATATGCGGGTTTCTTTCAGCATCAATCCTTGCAGGAATTCCTCGGCTATTTGGCGATTGTTTGTTTTTTCACTTGCAATTTCGCCAAAATTAGTACGGGCCATTCGGTGCTCTTCTATGTTTCATATTTGATAGTGCAACGTTTCGTATTTGCTTCGAGTGTTTGTTGTCTGATATTTGCCAATGCAGCGGGTAGCGTGAAGTGGTTCTTCAGTGTCTTGGAAAATCCGGTTTTCAAGAAGTTCAATCAAATTACTTATGCCATGTTTTTGCTAAATCCTCTGCCTGTCGTGCTGGTGATGGGCATGAGTAATGAAAGTCTATATTCGAGTATATTTACGATGGTGAGTGGTGAATTATAAACTTATATCTTACATATATTTAATTTTTATTCATATACATATATAATATATGAGTGTATGCATTAGTTCTTGCGGGTTTTTTCGAAAACTAAGACTCTGTTGTGAAAAATGATTTGAATCGTCTGAACACGATTGCCTGATCAACTCCTAAGACTTTTGCTAGTTCTTCTTGCGTCAGGCATATGCGATGAGCCATATCTCAATTTCTTCGTCTTGAAATTATTTTGGCTGTCCGGGTCGTTCTCCGTCGTCTAAGTCGAAATTTCCACTTTTAAACCGTGCAAAACACTTTTGGCACGTTCGTTCAGCTAAGGAATGGCCACCATAAACGGCCAGTAAAATATTAATATTAATAATACGATGGCTTTCGGTAGCACTTTTCTTCATTTTAAAGTAATGAAGAAGAACTTCCCGCAAAAACCCTTTTCTGGTACAAATGTCGACATTTTCAAATGAATGAAACAAATTGTTGTTCACGCCAAAACAAATGAAATCTACTGAAAACGACGCGAAGTGACAGTACCTTTAAAATGAATATAGCCACAGATGAGCCCCACGGGAGCCCCCTGCATTCCTTCACTCCGCATACGACCGCAATTGCCGCGAAACTCCAGAGCAGCAACAAAATACTGACGGAGAATCACTTGCACAGGGAATCATCTATGCTACGAGTTAAGGAGCATAATGCTTTGCTGTGCAAGCAGTTCCTATTGGGATGCTACCGCAGGGAGCAACACTGGACCGACAAGCACTGATCGCCATTCACCAGGAGTCAGTCAACACCTTCAAGGACTCCTTACCAGTGAATGGCGTACTCGGAAAAATAACACCACCTATAGCAGACAACGAGCTCGAGCTGCCTCGAGAGACCTGCGTGACCCTGACACAACTCAGGTCTTGATACTGTAGCAGGTAAAACTCCTATTTATCCAGACTAGACCCCAGCATACCCAACGTATGCCCTGCATGTGGAGAGTCTTCGCACGACACTAACCACCTCTTCACATGCCCTCTCAAACCAACTCTTCTAACCCCCCTCTCCCTTTGGTCTAACCCCGTCGAAACAGCTCGTTTCCTGGACCTACCATTAGATGACCTCGGCGACTTAGACTGATCAAACCTGTGCCTAAGCGGGGCTAGTGAACCGCTACAACAACAACAACAACGCGAAATAATACTAGTAGAGCCCTCTAAATTGTTTTAAAATTAAAATTTTTCTTTGCAAAAAACTATTTAATTCCCAAAAAGTATGTTTAATTATTTATTAATTGAAGAAAAGAATATTATGAAACATTTTTCTGTTTATTTATTTATTTTTATATTTTTTTTAATTTTCGAATAAATCAATTATTTTTGTCTGTTCCACTTTTCAGCTCGTGGAGTATATTGGCTATTGCGCAGTTCTTTATTTCTTCTGCACAATTTTCACTTTATTCTTTGAAGTGCCTTATAAGAATATTTCGAAAATGATGATGCAGCGCACCAAAGCGAAGACGAGTTAAATTAAATCTATACTAATTGAAGCTGTGATGGATTAAGATTTAAGTGTAACTGAATTTACTGTAACATTAAATAGTTTTGTATATGTAAAAAGATTAACAATTATATGAATAAGAAATCATAGAGTAAGAAAAAAGAAAATAAAAAATTAAGTGGCATAATTGGAAGCTTAATGAAAGTATAAATAAATTAATAAACTAAAACGAAATATAAATTCCAATTGATAATTTTGCGACTTGCTGAAGTGAAATTGTCATTTCGATGAAATTCTTATGAAATTTAATGAAGAATTAAAAGCAAGTAAAACAAATGGATTAAGAATATATACGGAAATAGAATCACTATAAGCAACTCTGATAACTAAAGCTCAAGTTGATTTTTAGCTACGAAAAAACTCAGAAATTATATTTTCATTATTTTATTATTTTTATGATTTTATTTAAAAAAAAAATGAAATAAGAACAGAAATGAAAAAATAAACCATTAAATAATATGAGTAGAAATAAAAATGAATGTAAAACAATAATTCACTTTTTTTCAAGCGAATCGTCCAAGAGAGATAGTTTATTCCACAACGTTTTTGGAACAGATCGCAAGTGAGTGTTGTCAAGCTGTTTTATTATCTTGGTTCAGTATTGGTTGGCATTTTATCAGGGAAAGACTTACGCCTGAAAAATGTTTACAAATCGTTCAACTTTATTGTGAAAATTTACGTTCTGTAAAGACATAATCGGCATTCATTATTAGATAACATTCGATCGAATAGATCTCGCCCAGTACGCATTGATATAGCGGCCGTAGCTAAGAGTGTACGCGAAGACGTAGCAACTCGGACTGACGTATGGAACGCCTTGGCGCATTTCACGTCGAGATCTTAAATTGAGAGCGCACAAATTACAGCTTCTGGCTTAATGTGTATGTACTCGTAAACAACAAAAATTGCCTCATATAAAACGAAGAGAGGCCTGAAGAGGCTCAAAAGATACCATTTTATTCAGAAAAAGGTGTCAAGGTTAGTGGAATCATCGTTCTATATATCACGGCGCCGAAGCGACTCTCCACGGTCTTCGTGTACACTCTCAGCTACGGCCGTTATATTTTCTTCGCTGCATGCTAGTCGAGGTTTATTCGGTCGAATATTATCCGGTAATGAATGCTAGGTCTCAAGATGGGCGATGGTGCTGCGAATAGTACGCTCTGTAAGCGGACTATGTCGACCATAAGTTGAGCGAAGCGCTCGCAAAACATTCATTACAGAGCTTGAGTTTCCATAATAAAGTTGAACTTTTTCTGAACAATATGACAGCTTGACACGAATCGCGCGTGATCTGTGAAAAACAAATGAGCCAACAATTGCTCCTGGATCTACCATTTCAACCAGTCGTCATCAGAAACAAAGGAAAAGAAATGATAAAGAAAATACAGTAGGTGAAATAAAAGTAACAAAACAATGGTACAAGCAAAACTTAACTGAAAATAAAACGAAAAAAAAAAACGTTGACAGCTGCAAGTCTTTGTGAAAAGAGAAAGTGATGGAGTGAAAGGTGTTGCTGACATTTCTGAAAAAACAACCAAAAGAACACAGCTCCGTGGGCAAATGCAATGTAATTCATTCATTTCTTTGGAAGCACACAAATTCAAATTTTTACATCTTTTTTCACCAGCCTGTGCTGCGTTACTTTCTCTTAATATTGTACTCGCTCTGGCCCATATCATTAAAAAACTTTATTCAGAGCGTATTTGGTGTACTTATTCTTACCTCTTCTATTATTTTCTTATTCTTTAACATTAAAAACAAGACTGTCTTTGTTTTCCTCTCTTTGATATTTTCACTTTTATTAATTTACTTGGAAATCTGCACGGCTTTGTTGTGACAAGAACACAAAAGTCCTTACCAAGATATCGCTTTCATTTAGTAAATATATATATACATATATTATATTTGTTTTGTGTTGGCCACCCTTGTTATTTGCAGGCTTAAATTGTCCATTTTCTTCGCTTTTATGCGCTAATGAGCCGCTGCGATTGCTGCTCGCAGAGGCTGTCGTGTATTTTAATTGCACTTTGGTGAAGTTTTTGTTTTTTTTTTTTTCACACCTACACTTGTTTTTGTCTTTTTGTTTGTTTGGCCGATAGGGTTTTGTGACCAGAAACAGAACTATACTTTTTCGAAGGTTTTTGATGTCGCAATCTGCATTTAAAACAGTTCCAGCAGCACTTTTAGAAAAAAAATTCTTTTTTGGGATCGTTATTCTCCCTGAAAGTACTACTTATACTCTCAAAAGCTCTTTTGAATTTAAGAAAAAAAATTATTTGCCTCGTAGAAATCGTCAATTTATTTTAATGACCTTGCCGATACTGGAACTGTTTTGAATCCAGATTCGGATTCAGCACATCATGATCCTTAGTTATTGTTCTATTAAGGATGTTTTTGCTGTTTTTGCATGCATAAATTTGATAGCTGCGAAATGAATTTTCGGCGAGGCATTCGAGCGGTACGTCAAAGTTGTTACATTTGCTGCTCAAATGATTGAGGAGAGGCCAAAAGAAAACTTACTGTCTCGTGTGCTCTTTGATACTGTGCTCTTAGCTCTTTCTCAATTCGTAGCGTTATGGCTGCATAATAACTGACATTTGTTTGGCAGGGTATTGAAGAACACGAATTGGATCAAATGTGGTTTTATTGAAATGTTCGTTAATTCTTTAGTTAAGTTCAGTTGAGTCGAAGGCAGACTACATTTTTCTGCTGGTTTACTTGCAGTAAATTTCACACGTAGCGAAAAATGTCACTGCTTTATATATTGTAATAAATACTGGGTGCTTTTTTACTCACTTCTTTATGTCCTTATGTATGTCGCACTTGTGAGCCAACAAATATTTCTTCCTCATTCAACTTTGATTATAATGAAATCATAAAAAGTCTTTGAATGCAAATCCTGAGATGCAAAAGACGGAAGCGACATATGGGAAGCCTAGAAAGTGGCTGCTTGATGAGATTTAAAAGTATTTTTGGCTTCACTGCGGTTAAAGGATAAGGCGAAGGTAGTAAATAAAATGAAAAAATGGGCAAAAAATATTTTCTTTTATGGAAAAAATTCAAAAACACTGTCAAAGGCAGCAAAAGGTAATCATTGCATAGCAATAAAAATTTCTGCTCTCTCTCTTCATTGAAAAGGAAAATATCTGGCTGTAAATGTACTGAATCATATGTAGTAGCTTTGTTTATGTCTATTAGCACTGTAAGGACACCACGCTGCATATATAGGCATTGATATAAGAAAATTTATACAAAATAATCTTTTATTGAAAAGCAATATTTTTATGTGAATATTTAATATAAATTTTGCTTAATAATATTAGTTATCAGTATGTACTACTACAATATAAAAAATTATAGGAAATGGATTTTTATTAAAAATAAATAAATAAATAACTGAGTTCCTTATGGATAGGCCCACGTCAGGCCATTTCAAGCCCTTTGCGTCTATTTTTGACATGAAATAAAAAGATCGCCATAAAAATGCTTCAGCCGTTTGAGGATAGATCTCGCCATTTTGTTAGCGAAAAAAAGCAAGACGAATACCCAAGAAGGAAAAGCGCGGTCGAAAATCGATTCAACGATTACAAATCGTCTATAATATAAATGTATGCAAAATATAGATAAGAATAAAATTTCCATGTAATCAGAGAAGTCATACTGGTAAAGTGGCTATTGTGTGTAAAGAAATTTATATTTTTTCGATCCAAAGTTACTATTTGTTTTTTGGGCATCCGGTTAAGGCCATAGGGTTATGTCCAATTTTTAATATGCTGCACCAAATTCAGCTTTCTTTTCTAAGCGCTTATATAGTACGGTTAAACTGGTTGACTTTATTGTGGGTGCCTCACATATGCAATATCACTTTCATAGTATTAACAAAAAACATAGTATAAACAAAATGATGTGATGAATTTTGATAGCCCATTGCTGATTGAAGATTTAGCAGTTTATGCTCCCCAATTAGGATGAAGATGTCTCTACCTGCCTGCCAAGCACCAGACGCCTATATTTGCTATATTTTCTTACTTTCAAGTCTCCCAGCATATTTCTTGTATTTACATACTTTCATCAGTCAGAACTAATTTGAAGGCATATAATGCCAATAGATAATAGTCCTACTAGCACTTTCGAGTCCAATCTCTTTGGACCTACAAAAGTCCCACTCATAGAATTGAAACGTGGAGAACAAACGTTTCAATTCTATGAGTGGGACTGGTAAGTCCATTATTACTCGTATAACTTCTTCAGAAAAAAACTCCTTCTTTAATCATAACAACGGCTATCTAACTTACTTATGCCTCTTCATTCCCAACAAAGATGAATATTGCTGCTTTTCACAAAGGTTTTTATCGTTTCATTACAAAGTGGAAACTATCACTATCAGTTTTGTGCTATAGGTTTGAGTTCCACAACTTTCAGATCATATTTTTCAGCTTGGATGATACTGCAATGGCTTGGCTGCTTGTTGAACTTTCTTAACTCCAGTAATCCGTAGCGCTCACCTCTGCTGTGTGCAAACTTGCCTCAGTTAGGTGCGAAATAATGCAAGCAACTGTAATCTATAACTGTGGTTCTTAGCAGAACCGTTTGGCTTCGCGAATGAAACGCTGTCCATGTTAATGCGAAGGAAAGAAAGCGTAAAGGCCCATTCAGTCTTTCCAGATATGACGTCTTTTCTTCAGCAGAAAAATGTTTCGTAACAAAAATCGTAACAAATGCCTTATGTTAAAAGTTCCAGTTGCATTCGAAAAAAAGATATGCTGTTACTTTCTGCATTCCCACCTATTGATTGAACCTCCCCGATATTTTGATGTCTATGTCGGTTTCGTTCAGTATGAAATTGTTTATTTCCTTGTGCATAGCACTTGGTCTGTCTAATCAGTGTTTTATTTCTACGTCTCTCACTGAAGTAGTCCAACTATTGTTTGCTTTTAATGCCTCATTCGACAGGTAGCTAAGAGTCTCGAAACACCTAACGCTTACGATGGCCAATATGTCATATGCCACGGCTGTACGTGTAGCTAATTTCTCTTCCATCTTTAATAGCAAGTCCAACGAAAAATGGTATTAACTTCTGAGTGCTTCTGTGCACATCATGCGGTATTTCGAGGGTAGCTTTTAATATTTCACAAAACAATAATACAAAATCAAACATTAATCATCGCTTAATATACATAATAAAGATTTATACACCTCTACGTTTGAGCCAACTGTCGACATACTTTTGCCACTCTAATTGAGGTTTTTCCATAAGCGGCGATCTGAACTCATTAACCGCCTTTTCAAGTGTCGAAAAACGTTGACGTCTCAATATATTTTTAAGTGACAAGTCAGGACTTTATGGTGAATGACTTCTTTAATCGCTGCTTTGAGTGGTCAAAAATTCAGTCTCAAGCGATGTGTGAGAGCTC